TACTTTATTTAGTTCATTGTTCCTTTGAAAACAAAATCAAATAAATAGTTATTTAAATCGATTTTTCCAAATAACACACAATAAATGGTTATTTAATTCATTGTTCATATGGGTAAGGTTCGAAAGCAAGAATCACATAGAATGTTGTTCTTTGTATGCATCAACACATATGTTTTATTTAGTTTTATTTTGAAAAAAGTAATAAAATGATGCGAATTTGGATGGCGATCCTCCAATGTCTATGTCCAATCCAAAGTCCGTTGGGTCCGATGGTAAGTTGCAATGGGAAGTGAAGGAATTAGTCCTGAAATCGGAACAATGGAATGGATGGCGAGCGATAGATACGAATTGGGAAGTCGTTTTAAATTACAAGTCTGAAGTAGTTGGATTTCAATTAGTTCCAATTGACTTTAGTTGCGAAATTCAGAATGTGTCTGCAATGTGATGCAATTGTGAAGGGTTACAATTGGTTGTAAACGAATGGGCAGATTTGGAGTCGTTGCGATGGAATACGAACGGCTGCGATCGAGAGAGATTGGTTGCGAATATCACAACCTGTCATATTTATTTGATGGTCGTTGCGATCTGAGTTATAGCGGTGAGGTTCAGTTCGCACTTGCTTGTGACTCGATGCGAGGGAGAGTCCGGATGCGAGGGGTCGAATGGATGCGAAGGTTGTCTCGGTTCCAATGAGATATTTGGATACAATGGATTTCTTGGATGCGAATGAGTGGATGTCCCGAGGAAGTTGGATGTGAGACTGATGGAATGCGAAGGGTGTCTGTTGGTTGCGAATGGCTTTGGGACTCAGTACTACTTTACACATGACATTATCTTGGACACCTTGGAAGTTGTAGCCGCCTTTTCCAATTCGTTAAACGTTATCTTCCCAATACAAGACTTTACTAGCTTTTATTATTATTTTAATTAGTTTTTAGATAAGCCATTAATTGGCATAATAATTAGATGACTTTTAGTTTATTTTAACTGTTAGATTGTAAGACTATATAAAGCCATGGATAATCATTTGTAGTGAGTGTGATGTCGAAAATATAAAGTTGAACAGTTGTTCATTCGAGTTGTTGCGTACAATTCAAACTGATCTTTGTTGGGACGTGCTTCCTAGTATTGATCTCGAACTCAAGTTAATAGGTCTTAATTTGTTTTCACCAAACTCAAATCAATAGGTATTGATTTGTTTTCACTGAAGTTTCAAACTATAGGTATAGTTTGATCTTCATACTATCATTTATTATTCTTGTTATTTATCCTTTGTTTTTGTCTTTTGTTCTTGTTCTTTGTGTTATTCCGCTGCAAATTCGATTTCAAGCTCCAGTTTTCAAGTTAATTGTGGTGTTGGAAATCTGAGTCGTGTTGTGGACTCTTGGAGCAGTCCAAATACGCATCATAAAGATTCAAAAAATATAAGAGTAAAGCCTAAAAAAAATAGTTTTCATAAAAAAATGATTTTGACAATGTATTTTTTTGTCTCACTTTAGACACTTCTTTTATCAATTTGTTATAATTATGTCCATTTAACCGGTCAACAAGGTTGACAGTTGACATATCGGTTTTAATAACTTGGTATAATGATGTGACACAATTTGGCCACATTATATTCTGGGTGTTCAAATAATAATAAAAAAAATTTAAAATGTGGTTCCTTTGTGATGGTTATCCAAAAATATAATGGCTTTTGTCAAATTTTCAAAATATAATGGACTTTTGTGACGATTATCCAAAATATAGTGACTTTTGGATGTTTTTGAAAAAATATCAATAATCACTTAAAAAGAGGATACAAATGCAACTAAAATTTGATACATTATATGGAATTATGATAATTATGTATACTAATTCTGATAATATGAACTTTGTTGAAGGAATGTTTAATTTTTTTATAACTTTTGAAGAAATAGGTACTGATTTAAAATCATTAATGAATGTTTTAAAGTTTGTGGATAGTTATATAGTGGAGATTGCATCGAACTCGAACTTGAAACCTAAATAGATGCTTTCACTTGCAAAGGTTCTTCCAGAATCTTTAAGATCTTTAAATACAAATCTTTGAATATTTATTTTTAGGACTATTTTTTATACTAAAAAAGGTAATAGAAAAGATGATGATTTTTTAGAGGATGTGGTATGGGCCAACAACGAGAAGCAACCGGGTGATGTGGCACACGAAAACGGCGTCGTGACGGGGGGAACACCGCCCCCCCCCCCCCCCCCCCCAACTCGTTGCATCTCGTCGAGCAATTCTCGTGGGCGTTACGACGAAGTGAAACGGCTAAATTTTTACCCGTTGCCTTTATAACCGTTTGCAAACATATTTATTTCGAAAAAAATAAAATAAAAAATAAAACATATTTTTTTCCAAAAAGTTGGTGTTGCATCTTGTTGCCCATTTCCCCACTTGGTGTTATAACACCACTTGTTTATGTGGCATGTGAGGTGTCACAACTTGGTGTTGCACCTTGTTGCCCACACCCAATGTTTTTAAGTATCTGTATTTAATGTAGGATCTCGGTGTATTTTTTTGATTCATAATCATTCTTTTATGATCGGTGTTTGTAACTTTAATGTTGGGTAGAATGAGAGATGGTTACTTTCACATATTTAACTATATATCGCAATGCAGTGTCGTCTTATATTTAATTCTAAAAAGTGTTATCATTTACAAATGGGACAATGTCATAATTTAGTTACTGACAACTATTTACACATATTTAACGTCCCTATATTAGTTGAAATTTGAAAGTGTTTATACTAGTCCGATATTTGCTCTAATACGACATCCTATTATATTAAATATAAACTATGTGAATATTTGCGTGTTGCGCAACATAAAATTATATAGTCAAAATTTGGCAAGTTCATGTTGGAAATAATTATGATATTGATATTAACTATCAAATAATGGTTTCTTACACTAAATTGGAATACAAAATTGTAATGATTTTTAACCATATTATAACATTTATTAAAATCGTATCATTCAATGACTGCTACTCGCAACTGATGTTTAAATAAAAATAAATTAACTCTTAATTTTATATTACTTTTAACATTATGATTAACTAATTTAAAAATTACTTATTTGACATTTTTTGTAAATTAATGTAAAGTAATTTAAAAGGTTATGTTGTTTTTAACTATTATTAATTTTAATTAATTTAAAAACCATTTATTTGGATAATTTTCAATCATTATAAAAAAAAATTGGTTTTGGATATTTTTAGTTAAATCGACATGTCGATTTAGTTTTACAAATAAAACATTTAAACTTTTTAAAATATTTTAAACAAATAGTAGTTTTCTAATTTTTTTAAAGTTTATTTGACGTTTTGATTTACATTTTTGTATTTAACATGGTATTTAAATTAAACATTTTAACTCTATTATATTGATAATACAAAAAATACACCATTAATATGATAATATTTCACATTGAAAAAAAAACATTTAAATTTTAAAATAGATATACTAGAATGAAATATGAAGAGTTTGGAATTTCAAATACATTTGGTGAAAGAAAAAATGATTTTTAAAACGTTATGTTATTTTTAACTATTATTATTGTTTTATTGGAAAAAAAAACTTTACTAACGATGGTTTTCGAGCCGCTTTCGTGCATCAACTAATCATCCGTTATGAGCATGAGTCTATGCCTCATGCTCTGGAAACACTGCAGACGAACCTCCATGACCACAAGGGCTGAGTAATGTCAGGATTTGAACATGAGTCAATATGTTATCCACCATATTTTCCATATGTCTTAAACTATGATTATTGTTAATTAATTTAAAAACTATCTATTTGGAAAATTTACAATTATTATAAAAAAATGGTTTTGGATATTTTTAGTTAAATCGACATGTCGATTTAGATTTACATTTAAAACAATTAAACGTAAAATATTTTAAATAAATAGCTTTGAAATATTTTTAAGTTTATTTGATATTTTAATTTTCATTTTAGATTTAACATGATATTTAAATTAAACATTTTAAGTATATTATATTGATATTGCAAAATGTTCACCATTAATATGATAATATTTCACATTAAAAAAAATGGAAATTATAAAATAGATATACTATAATGAAATATGAATAATTTTGGGGGTTCATATAAATGTGGTGAAAGGAAAAATGTTTAGTATAGATAGATAAATATTTTTAAACTAAATATTTATTGATTTTTAAATTGTTAAACATAACACAACTAATTTATCAACATGACTATCTATAAAAACTTTACAAAAATCAATAAATAACTATATTTTGGACAACTATATACTCAATATATTTTGGAAACTTTACAAAAGTCAGTATACTTTGAATAACTATAATAAAAATCATTTCATTTCATTTTATTTTTTAATTTTTAGTTTATTTATTTTAGTTTTGACATCCAAATTGTAATGTCATCAAATAGAGTCACATTATCATGTCATTTCATCACTTCACATCATCAAATGTGCTACATCAACATGTTACGTCCGCTGACAACTGAATTGATCCGTTAAGTTGTTAGAATTATAAAATCCGAAAAAATAAATGTCATATTTGAGACAAAAAAATACATAATGCCAAAATCAAACTTTTTATAAAAATTGGATTTTGATTTTGACCGATAAATAACTATACATCCAATTTGAAACAAAAAAACATAAATGCATTATTTATTCCAATATTTGTAATTTAATTTCACAATTGGATACAAAATTAGTTAATTATTAAAAACTAGAAGGAATAAATATAGATACCTAAAAAGCAAACGTTAAATATTAAATCTCAAATATTTAAAATTAAATAACATCAAAGATTATAATCGTATATAATTAAGGATCTTATATCTGTTTGGGGCTACAGCCCATTCATATAACCCATACTAATGACTAAACCCATACCCAAACCCAAACCACCTCATTGGCTCATCCTAATGACTTAAGTTTCAAACAGATTTGACGAGTTTCAAACAGATTTGACGAGTTTAGATTTATAAACAACCCTATAAAGAGAATATGACGTGTTATTTCAATAGTATGCATACACTATAATAATTTAAATACACAAATAGTATGATCAACGATAACTATACGCCCCAATTGCTTGTTGTGTTTGAATAGTATCTTTCGGGCACCTTGGATAAACTTTTCCGATATATGTTAATTTGACGTTGTTGCAAACAGCCTGAGTGTCACCACCGTCCTTGTGTGTAAGGTTGATCTCTCGTAATACAACCCCTTGACATGGATGATTTTCGCTACAATCGAACGTTATCGCGTCTTTATCCGTACTAGTCCCAGTAATATTTTGATAAGTCACATTTTTTATTTCGACAGCTGAATCCTGTATATTATTTTGTTGTTAAAACAAAAGCATCAAAGATATGTAGATTATGTAACATTTAGCATGCATATTATCAGAGTTATCAAGTTTAATTATCGGGCGTGGTAATATGTTTAGACTGAAGCACAATTTTTTTTTTCTTTTATAAAGATATCATTTCACCATTGTATTATGTTGTTTCATCATAGGCAATAACTAATCGTAACCTAAATATACTCGAAACATTATGAAAAATAACAAATATTAATGACCTGTTCTTTACATGATTTAGCTTGATCACAATAATTTTGGTCTATGATGATAGGGTTGCTCACATTCTTCATCTTAATATTTCGAAATGTAATTTGACTTGCGTTCCCCAAACCTCCCTACAATTATAAAGTAAAAGCTAAATATCAGTGACATTTAACATTTTAAGTTTTTGTTTTAATGCAATAATGACGAATTAGTGACAATTCATAGTTATATTAAGACTAATTTATCAAACCAACAAAGTCTACTAAATTACCTGCCAAGTCTTAATTCTAACACCGTTTGTTGTTCCAGTAAGTTGAGCCCCGTCAACCATGACATTCGAAACATGAGCTTCTGAGTTTTTAGATCCCAAGCTCCCAATACTGAATAAACAAGCAACCATAATATTATTAGTATAAGTTTAACTCTCTCTCTCTCTCTCTCTCTCTCTCTCTCTATATATATATATATATATATATATATATATATATATATATATATATATATAGTTAGGTTCATGTGAGACGACCTAATTTTGTGAGACCGTGAGACGCAATCCTACCCATTCATTTAGTAGATAAAATAAAACATTTTTAAAATGCAAAATAATTGAAAATTTTCGAAATTTTTTTTCAAATATTTTTTTCGGAATTTATATTTTCCAAAAAATAAAATAAAATAAAAATAAAAATAAATACATTTTTTACATATTCTAGTAGAATATTAGAATATTCTATATATCTGACAAATCTAGTACAATATTCTAACATTCTAAAAATCACATTAGAATATTTACAGTGTAATATTCTATTAGAATATTTCACGTATTTAAAAAGAAAACGGTAATTTTATTTATTTATTTTATTTATTTTTTATTTTTTTAGGTAATTAAAGTTCCGAAAATAATAATTAATTTTTTTTTGGATTTTTCCTTTTATTTTGTATTTTAAAACTATTTTTAGATTTGGTCTCACGGTCTCACAAAATTAGCATGGTCTCAAATAAACCTGAACATATATATATATATATATATATATATATATATATATATATATATATATATATATATATATATATATATATATATATATATATGGGTGTGTTGTAACTTGTGTATCATAACTTTATATAAAAGAAAATACATATATGTAATGCATACCTAATCCCATGACCCGGTCCACATGTTATGCCCGTGGCTTGAACATTTTTTGATTCGCTCACAATTGAAATGCAATCATCCCCTTCAATACAATTAATGACAATAAGATAATTAAGGTCAAATAAAGACATGAATAGTTTGTTATTATATAGCCTAGGTAACTTAAGTTATAGCATCCATAACAAAGAGTTTAATAGAAGAAGTCAATGAGATGACACGCATTCACTTGATGAAAACTTTAATCGTATTATGTGATGTTATATTGACATTAATGAATTTGTAATTTAATGACCGTTCAACCTGTAACATCCGAAATTCTAGATGTAATTAATTCAAATTTATTTAGAAAGTTTTATTGGTCACTACGTGGGATAGGTATCCTCACGACGTGGCATGGCTAAGAAATATCGTGGATGAATTTTGTGCCTCACGACGTGAAATCTTGTCCATCACGTCGTGACAACTGTCTGAGGGCAAAATCCTAAATTTTTGGGCTTTAGGCCATATATAAGGAAAGTGTGAGCCAGGGTTTGCTCACCTTTAGCCTCCAACACCTTTCTTTCTAACCCTAATCAGATCTAGCCTCCATTGTTGAGCTTTTGAAGAATTTTGCGGTGTTCTTGACATTTTTAAGCAGAAGGAAGCTCATTTGGTGTATTGTTTCATCTAGTCATCCTCATCATCATCACCAATCATCTTTTCTAGGATCTTTGTAAGTGATCAAGATCCAAACTTTAGGTTGCATGCTTTTAGATCTTGATTTGTTGTCCCTTATTCTTCATGTTGTGAGAGTTTAAAGGAAGGGATTCTATAAAGTTGGAAACTTTATGGGTCCTTAAGGTCCTTTTGGTGTTATATGTTCTAGATCTATGGTTCCTTAGGGATTTTAGTCTCATACTCAAGTTTGAGCTCTCTTCTTCCTTGATTTTGACCTAGCTTGGAAGGGGCTTGCATGTCCATAAAGCACTTATTTTTATGGTGTTTTAGGAGTAGGAAACCCTTATGGAAGTTGTGGACTTGAGACTTTAATGTTTAAGTGCTTAATGGTTGACTTCATGCCTTAAGTTGCCATTAAGGACCTAGGTTTAGAGATCTTGGCTTATTGGGATGTCTTAATGGAAAAAGTTAGAAACTTTATCCATCAAGACCTTGGGAAGAATCAGATCTGAGCTTTACAGCTCATGGAATGGATGGAAAACGACTTAATCCATTTAGCTGTTGAGACCCAATCCTCACCACTTGACATCTTGTCCGTCACGACGTGGCGATTGGGGGCAAGCCGACAATTTTGTCCCTATTCTACCATGACGTGGCCAGTAAGAGGCCACAATGTGGCGACTCGCTGAAGTTGACTAGGACAGTTGACTTTCACCGTTGACTTTTGATTTGGTTGACTTTTGGTCAATTTGCTAGTTTTAGAAGGTGGACTAAGAGGGTTCACCCTGTGTGGTTTATTAGGTGGTGTGACACTTTTGAGGTGTTTACGACACTTTTGAGGTGAATCTTCTCACTATACTCTGTAGGATGCTAGTTGTCTTTGTAATACTTGCATGAAAGACCTAGGGGGTAGCCTGTGGCATTTGATTGAAAGACCATGGGTGTATCCCATGACGCTTGTATATAAGACCATAGGGGTAGCCCATGACAATGCAAGAAAAGACCATGGAGGGAGCCCATGACACTTATATATAAGACCATGGGGGTAACCCATAGCAATGCGAGGAAAGACCATGAGGATAGCCCATAACACTTCTATGTAAGACCATGAGGGTAGCCCATGACAATGTATGTATAATATGTGGTATTTTTGGGATCTCATTAAACTTTGTGCTTACGGTTTTGTAGTTTGAACTGTTTCAGGTACTTCCAGTTTCAAAGGGAAGGACCCGACTTGACTGCACAACATTCTCCCTGATGATTTTCCGTATTGATGATTGTTATTTTACTCTGATAATTATGATACATTTTACTATGATGGATTCTTTTGGAACAAATACTATGTGATTTGGTGATTTAAATATCAACAAATTTATTCGTGATTTTGGGATGTTACAGAACCCTTTAATGAAAAGAAAGAAAACTTTCTAATTTTAAATAAATATTTAAATAGGTTTCATTTAACTTTGTATTGTAGAAAAAAATCAATAGAATTCTATGAAATATAAAATGATATGTATATGGAACTCAATGCATTGTGGACTCTAGTTAATTTGTTGAATTTTATCCTATTAGTTGGTTTGCATATAAAATTTGTGTAAACCGTTATATAATTATATTAGGTGATATATGTTTTACTCACTCTGTGATTGTTCTTATCTTTTTATAAAAACGTTAAATAATAATTTTAGAAAAATATATATGATTAAAAAAATTAAAGAACCTGTTCCTATAACAGAATTGGATATTGTGATGTTCTTGGTGTGGGTGACATGAATTCCATCAGTGTTGGGGCTATCTCCTGGTGCAGTCACTTGAAGATTTGAAGCTCGAACATTCTCACAATTGTCGAAAGAAATATGGATTTGCTGTGCATTCTGAATTGTCAAGTCATTCACCATCAATGTTTTGCACTTGTAGAGCGTCAAAGCCTGCCATTGCCAACCAGTAATCGTTTCTTATGAAAATGTTCACATCTCAAGCTTTATTAAAATGATCAACTCGTTTTTTTTATTAAAGTTTGTACGATGGTTATTTGTATGTAAATATTTACAATTGATCCAAAAAATCAGTTTTACACTTTTCTGTACTTGATTTATTACAAAAAACGATGATCAATATATGATAAAAAAAGAAACTAGACAAAAGTTGATGATTAACCAAAAAAGACTGAACCAAAAAGGATGAAACGGAATGGAGATCGAACGTACCGTTGGGGCATCCTTGCATGGCTGCATGCATTTATCACCACAAAAAAAAATATATATAAGTGATGAATAACGAACTAAAATAAATATCATCAAATTTGTCATTTATTAATAAGAGATTATAATATATACATGCATACAAAACTGTAGCTAATTATGCACGAAAGATTGCGGGTACTGCATTAAAAACGCTATTGTGTTATATCAATTTCTATATGACTATGTAATGATAAGTGTGTTTTCAGTTGGTAACGTTATGTCACTTTAACTAAATTAATAATCATTAATGTTCACTTCACATAAGACTGCCCTTATGGCCTTATCTCAGATAATAGTAATTGACAAATACTTTATGATACTTGCCGTAACCTTACTCGTTATGTTTAAAAGTTTGGCAACTCGCTACTCAATCCGAGTTAACCATGTGTGAGTGTGTGTGTGAATTATGAATATTAATAGGTTAATTGAACCAATGACTTCCAGCCTAGCTGGGAAGAGGTACCGGGTTTAATACCCACGTGGGGTCAGAGGTCGGGAGTTCAATCCCTGCAAAATCCAATTTGGGTGCTTCTTAAACTTGTGCCACATGTGGAGAAATTTTCCCTGGAAATCCCTATGGGGGCTGGGTTTGCCTTGTAAAGGAGCTCGAACCCGGGGTGCTTGTTGAAATATACGAGTAGGCTTCCGTTTAATCATTTGGTTTCCAAAAAAAATAGGTTAATTGACTAGCTAGCTATATATAGCAACCATTTAATGCGTGTGAGATCGGTGAACTAACATTTTCATGTTAAATATATCAATATATAGACTTACACTTGTTGTGTTTATAAAGAACGTATTAGTAACTTAATTGGTAATTAAAACTATTTGTTACATATATTAACAAAAATAACATATGTAGTAGGTTGTTATATTGGTAATTAGTTAAGCCCGTAATCAATTAACTTATTACTTACGAGTGTCTTGTTGACTTTGCAGGAATTACTCCACCAAAAGTCTCCATTGCCATCGATGACTCCCCCTCCTCGGATCAACAAGTTATCAACATGATCCACTCTAAGCCAATGCCTCTCGTCTTTCTTATATTTCGACTCTTGCTTTGACGCTAAAATGGTTCCCGAAACCTGTAAATATATGTAACTATTGGTTCCAAAACCACAAATTCTGCAAAAATATTCGATGGTAATTAACATATATTTATTCTTTTTAAATGACTTTTTTTTTTTAATTTTTTTTTAATTTTTTTTTTGCCGTCATGGAGTATTAATTCAGCTATGATACTTCTATAATTAGGGTTAAATGCTTGTTTACTTCAAATATTCTACGGTTTACTTCATTTATGTGTTTTCAGACAAAATATAACCGGAACAGGTTATCTCGGGGAGTCGTTAAATGATTATTTATGCAACAATATTTCATTTTTTACTAATTTATACATTAACAATGGTTAATGTTAAATCTTGTTACTAATATACACAATTGACATATATAAAGCATGTTTCAGCCAGTTAATTAATATGTTCTAGCTAGTAAAAGCTTGTATATCTTGGCCATAAAAATAAAACATGGTTGTTCGGTAAAAATTCAAAATTTATTCATAAATTAAGAAAAAAAAAATGAAACCTCGTTGTATCTACAAATCTTTAAGGAAAATTTAAAGCTGACCTCCATGGTTAGCGAAGATTTGCAAGGACCTTTAAACTTAATTGGCGTTACAAGGTACTTCTTGTTCTTGGCCACACTAAAAACTGCTTCTGTGGTTGATGAACATGCTGCCTTCCATGCCTTCTTGAATGCCTAAAACAAAAACAAACACACACACACACACACACACACATATATATATATATATATATATATATATATATATATATATATATATATATATATATATATATATCCAATTTAAAAGGCATGTATAAGATCAAATACTATTATTATGATGGGAGGAAAGAAGAAAGAAACCATAGAACATCTTATAACCATGTCAAAAAAGATAAAGTCATGTGTGTACCTTTGTATCATCTTTTTTGCCATCACCTTTAGCACCATAAGAATCGACATCGAATGTCTTAGTTGCAACGAGAGCTGAATCAGCAAAAACGTATGACTCTTGAAACATGAAATCTTTAATTGTTTTCATATAACGAGTATATGGTCTACATAAGCCTGATTCATGGGAAGTACAAGTATACCGTGAGACACAGAAGAGAACAAGGACGAGAAGAAAAGAAAGAAACGAAAGGTATCGTTGTGAAGCCATTGTAAGTGATATATGAATGTTGAGGATGTTTATGGGCATATGATAGTACGAGAATGATGTAGCTTTGAATTTATAGAACAATGTCGGGTTTCACACTCATTGAGTATGGTTTAATTTCTACTAACTACCAATTTTTTTTCTTGGAATATTATCATTATTAATATCATTATTATATTAATATTATAATAAAAATAACTATTATTGTAATCATTATTAGGGGTGTTTGAGATTGCTTTTGAGCATCAAAAGTTTATTTTTTGTAGAAAGACTTTTAGTGGAAGGACTTTTTGCAAAAGATGTTATTTAAAAAGTGTTTGGATTATACAAAATGACTTTTGATTAGCTTTTATAGGTAAAGTCACAAAAAGTCAGGTTTTTGTGACTTTTTGAAACCCTTTTTTTTACTCTTTGCGAAAAGCCATTTCAAAAGAACTTTTCAATTATCCAAACATCTTTTGGCTTTTTTTTTAAACTTTTTGAAAAAGTTAAAAGTTTAAAAGTCAATCTAAAAGCAACGTCAAAGACCATCTATGTTGGATATATTAGGCACAAGGCTTTTAAAAGCTTTTACCTTTTGTCCTTATAGAAAATAAAAACTATGAAAAAATCTTCGTTGGACAATAGGAATTTTTAATATTTATTTTATATAAAAAAACTAATAATTCAAAAACTACTTAAAATATTTTTTTTATAGCTTTTAGCTTTTCGTTTTATTTATTTATTTATTTAATTACAATTCTAAAAGTTAGCAATCTTTTTTGCAAAACAATTTTACACAAATAAAAGTTTCAATTACCATCTACCAGCATACAAGTAATTTTGCTAGAGTTTGTTATATGTCTGTTTTCATACAAGGGTGGATTATTCTTGTTATTGTAATGGTTGTTAATAGTTAGTTATTGTGTAAATGATGTATATATTGGTATACCTTATATTGATTAGTGGTTAATGAAATGAGAAAGACTTTCTTTCAATTCGTCATTTCCCTCTCTTGTTCTTTCATCACAACATGATATCAGATTGAGGTTTTCCGATCTTGATCTTCTTCACTTTTGATTTCAATTTTATTCCTTTTTCAGTAATTCTTCAGATTCCGATACATATCCTTTCTTCATTGGATCTTCGGATAATCAAAGCTCTTTACTAGTGAATTCTGTTTTTAATGGTATTGGATTTGCTTCCTGGAAGAGATCGATGTTCATTTCTTTGTCTGCCAAGAATAAAATTGGCTTCGTCGATGGATCAATAATCCTCCTTCAATTACTTCCAGTGATTACGCTCTTTGGTCTCCTTCAATTTCTTTGTCTACCAAGAATAAAATTGGCTTTTCTGATCATATGTGTTCCAACAAGTCAATCTTTCAAACTTTTATCAAACTCTCCAGGCCTCATTATATTGGTTTACCAGATGGTCATGGTACTCTAGTTTCTTATGTTGGAAGCGTGAAACTTCATGATTCAATTATTCTTCATGATGTTTTTTATGTCCCCTCATTCAAATACAATATGGTCTCAGTTACAAAACTCACTTCATAGTTGAAGACTTTTATTCTTTTTACTGATAAATATTGCCTCATGTAAGACCCTTTATCAACGAATAAGCTTGCTTATGGCTTCTTTGGAACAAGAGTGAATGACCTTTATGTCTTTGATCATCGATCTATACATAGAAGTCTTTTATTTTGTCTTTCTGTTTCCAAATTGTTCTGTAATAGTTCCTTGAAACATGATGTTAAATCTTCTAATTCTTTGTTGTGGCATAGAAGATTTGGGCATATTCCATTAAATAAACTTCAGTTACTTTCTCTTGTTGGATCCAATATTCATGATTCTCAAATTGATTCATGTGATATCCGTTTCAAAGATTGACATCATCGACTTCCATTTCCATCAAGCAAATCTATTTCCATTAATCTTTTTGACTTAATTCATGTGGACGTTTGGGGGCCTTATAAACATACGTCTCATGATGGTCATAATTTTTTTGTAAAAATTGTTGACGATTACAATCGTCACACTTGGGTACACATGATCACTCACAAGAGTTATGCATTTACTGTTATTAAACAGTTTGTCAAATTCATCCAAACTCAATTCAACACTCATATCAAAGTCATAAGAACTGATAATGCTTATGAACTTGGATCAAGCAATGAGGGTATTGCTTAATTTAATTTTGTAGGAATTCTTCATCAACGATCCACTTCTTTCACTCTACAATAAAACGTGCTAGTTGAAAGAAAACATCGTCATATTCTTGAAGTCTCGCGAGCTCTATACTTTCAATCTGTTTTGGGAAGTTCTTATTGGAATGAATGTGTCAAGATTGTTGTATACCTTATAAAATGGATGCCATCTCATGTTATGGGTAACAAAACTCCTTTTGAAATGCTTTACAATAGACAAGCTGATTTTACATCCTTGAAGACCTTTGGATATTTGTGTTTTATCACTTTTTCATCTCTGGGTCGTGATAAATTCATGCCTAGAGCTCATGCTTGTGTCCTTCTCGGATTTCCCATTGGTCAAAAAGCATATCGTATTCTTAATCTTGTTACCAAAACCTATAACATCCGGAATCTAGAAGGTCAATTATGGAAATAAATTCCCTTTTTAGGGGCCAACTCGTCGAGTTTATGGCATAAACTCGACGTGTTGGAAGCTTTTGGGACGCGTGTTTTTAAGGACCAACTCGTCGAGTTGGTGAAGGGAACTCGACGGGTTGGACATTGTTTGAGAAAACCCTAATTTTAGGGTTTTGCACCCTATTTAAAGACCTTAACTCCCTTGGCTGGCCTCCTTACTAGCCTCCTTGTCTAGAAAACCCTAATTTCATGTATTATCCTTCAAGGTTGAGTGTGTGAGCTTGTGGTGAGTTTGGAGAGTTGATTTTTGGTGTTCTTTGGAAGAAGTTTGAAGATTGAAAGTGCTTAGTTTGGAAGGAAGGCTTTGGATCCAGAAACTCTCCATTTGTTTCAGTCCTTTTGAGGTATAAAGTCGAAACCTTGTGTTGTTATCTTATAGACCTCTTTGTGGGATGTTTTAGCTTGATTTTTGGGTGTATGGTTGGGTTGTCCAAAAGGTTAAGGGTTCCACGGGTTATTATGTTAGATCTGACCCTTTATGACCTCTCTTGGCATAAAGTTGCAAACTTTGCTAAGTCCTAAGTCCCGTCCATGCATTAAGTCCTTTATTAAGCCATTTTGGGCTCTAGGGTTCCTTTCTTGCATGCATGGACGTAAAGTTGGAAACTCTACGTGATAATCCAGCCTTGGGATGCCAGATTTGTGTTTTGGGGTTATGTTTTGAGAGTTTAAGGGCTTAATGGGTTAAGCCTCACTCTATTAAGTAAAGGATTCGGGTTTGGGTTCATTGTAGTGGTTTTTAAGGGTAAAGTTGGAAACTTTACCCTTTTAGTCATCATTTGGGAAAAGGTCCGAGAATGGAAGCTTCTAGATTCGATGGAAACGACTTAATGCATTAAGCTATTTGATTCCTGGCCAACTCGGCGAGTTCTTTAGGGGAACTCGGTGAGTTGATGCGAGTTTTCCCGATCTGTGCAATTAATGGAGAAACTCGACGAGTTGAAGGACAACTCGGCGAATTGGGTCAACTCGGACCGTTAACTTTGACTTTTGACTTATAATTAAGGGAATTATGGGCTTAGTATAAGGCCCGTATGGGGTTGGGCCCAATTTGGAAAATTGGGCCATTAGTGGGCTTTGATGGATCTAGTAGTTTCTAGTATTTTGGGCTTGAGTTATTAATGGGCCATCGGGATACAAAGTGTTTGGACTAGAAATAATGGTTGGACCTTAAGGGAGGGCCATGTAAGGAGTTTGGGCCTAATTTGGAAAATTGGGCCATTTGTTGATTAGTGGGCCTTTGGGCCTTTCAGATTGTAGTTTGGGTCATGGACTTGGACAAGGCTAAGATGGGGGTAAATTGGTCCTTTTACCCCACATATGGAGTGGTGGTTATGGTTTGAAGCCCAATTGTTAATTGGGTGTATTATTGATATTGCTAGTTCGGGAAGCCGTTAGGGCATCAGCTAGGGATTCTTTTAGTGAGCTTCTGCAGTGCAAGGTGAGTCTTCTCACTATATCCATGGGTTGAAGGCACCAATGTCGACCCATTATGTGTTATGTGGTATGTTAGTTGTCTTTGTGATACTTGCATGGAAGACCCCGGGGGGAGCCCGTGGCAATTGGATGTCAGACCATGAGGGGAAAGCTCATGGCATTCCAGGTAAAAACCATGGGGGGGGGGGGGGGGAGCCCATTGCATAATAGATAAAGACCATAGGGGGATCCCATGGCACCTATATGTATGTGTGTGATAGTCTGTGAATGTATGTGGTATGGTATTTTGGGGAAACTCACTAAGCTTTGTGCTTACAGTTTTCAGTTTATGTTTTATGTACTCTGTTTTTCAAATGGAAGAGCTCGGGATGATTGCAGAGCACACACCACATGTTTCCGCATATTGTGAATTACTCTGGTTAATTGATGTTTTGCTAAATATTGGTTACTCTGGTTTTGTGTAGACAATCTGTATTAGTAAATTATCTATCTAAAAACAAAAAAATTTGTGTCTTGATTTTGGGTCGTTACAAAACCATTCATGTTGCAAGAGACATAAAGTTTTTTGAGGATATTTTTCCATTACACTCATCTTCAATACATCCTATTACTTTGCCCATCTCTTTCATTCCCATCAACTCCAATGATGATCTTCCTCACCAAAATTTTCCAAATACTACCCTTACTACTAATTCTCCACCTTTACCTGGATGTACTACACGAATTCGTCAACCACATTCTCATTTACAAGATCTTATATGCAACAATGTTGTTGACAATTCTCATATTTGTTATCATACTATTACGAATCTCTACATTAACACTCCTAGCTCATTCTCATGTTTTTAATGTTTTCTTGAACATTTCTAAACCTACTTTCTATCATCAAGCTAAAGGATATCCCAATTGGGAGAATGCTATGTCACAAGAATTGGAAGCTCTTAATCAAAATCACA